TGTACCATGTGATAAGATTACAATTTTAAACAGAGAAGGAACACTGAGAAATAAAGTAAAATATTTTTTAAGATTTATTAATCTATGCGGCAGCTGATATAAATTTGGATTAGCTTTACAGTGCTCTACAATGGTTTTTCACGTTCCAAATTATATTCGGCATAAAACGTTATATATATATATATATATATATATATATATATATATATATATATATATATATATATATATATATATATATATATATATATATATATATATATATATATATATTCATTTATATTTATAATTTATAAAACAAATATATATATATAATAAAACACACACACACACACATATAATAGGGTAATAAAACATTTATATATATATATATAAATATATATATTTATATATATATATATATATATATATATATATATATTTGTATATATATATTTATATATATATATATATATATATATATATATATATATATATATATATATATATATAAATGTTTTATTACCCTATTAATTAAAAGAACACATTCCAAACTATCTATTCATATATGTTGTATATTTATGTGAGGTCACTATATAAAGGGAAAATGGGAAGCATAGATCACAGCTGCTTCTACTCTCCCCGACTAGTGCCAGAGACCAATTTAAGCGTTGATGTAATAGATCTTGGAAATCATACTAAAGGGAATAATATCGTTATCCTATTTTGAACAATGATTTTAAAATTTCTTACTCTTTTTACAACCAAAGAGTCCACACTTAATCTTTTTGAAAATGTTTCCCAAAAATCGTTTTGATCGCTGTAGATGTTGAACTGTAATTATAAAAATTGGTATTAGTACATGCTTTTTGAAAAATGCATAAATGTTTAAAATAACTTTTTAAAGCACAATTTTCAAAATAAATTGATTTATAGTGGTTGTTCATTATCGAGTGGAAGATATCAAAATTGCCATAGCAACCAAATATATTTTAACGTAATCAAAATGTCTAATAAGACCTGCAGTGAAAGTAATTTAAGAAAAAAATGCAAACTTCTTTTGATAGCTAAAAAATTAATACTAAAACTATTCCTAATTTGTAACAATGTACCCATAAAATGACGTTAGTTGTTGTAAATAAAAATGAATAATAAACTAATGTTCCTGTGTTGTATCTAGGATGTGAAGCATGGATATGATATGAATGAAGAGTGTAACAATAAGATATTATCGTTTTTTAAATTGTTCCGTAATCTTGCTCCTGCCTCTTACTTTTAAATTTAGGAAGCTATCTTTTACATCTTATCATAAATGCTTCTTCTTCTTCGTGCTTAATTAATTTTTTATGTTGGAAGGGATTCCTACCAACAAAAGTAAATATTACTATCAAACTGTTATTTGCCATTTGTCAAACCAAGAACAAACTACAAGGCAGCAGTTGATTGATTTTGGAGTTGTCTCTCTAGAAGAGTCGCTGCCCCCAGGTATAGAGCCTTATCTGCCTGGGAGTTCGAACTCGAGGCTTCTAGGTTAGTCAAGAACTTTACCGACTCGACCACGGCGACAACTCATTTATAATTTTACAAATAAGTCCACATTTTAAGGGTTTCTTATTTTAATAGCTTAAGTAAGAAAATAATCGGTAGCATAACTAGTTTTTACCGTTTTCGCGAGGCACCGAGTTCTAGCTTTCGCTTGTTTCTGTGATGGAATTTTTCAAACTGCCACTTGCATATATGAAATAACTTTCGTTTAAATGTTTATTTTGTGCTTATGTTGCATACTTTATGTGAACTTCACTTTCCGCATCATCATGTTGGAGCTGCCTCACCAATTACGCTAATTATACTTTTTGTAGAATCAGTAAAATAGAGTTGAACAGATGAATATGTTTATGGGTTATATATAATAATTTACTCACCGTTTACCCATTGCCCATCAACACACTCGACTGTCTCAGGACTTGATGTGCCTTCTCCTAACACACACCGTGCGCCTTCAGATAGAAAAATGCGTCCATGGTCCTCTCGAGTAGTGAGTGTGTGATCGAGTGTGGTATTGTTTACACACGTCCACAGATTGAAGGCGCTTGTTACCTCACATTCTGCCTGCAAATTGTTTTTGTGAGGTAGTAAAAGCAAAATATTCTTGTGTCGATACCATTTGAAATAACTAGCTTTACAAATCTGGACTATTCTCAACAATTGTGATATTTATGAAATATAATAATTTGATTATCTAACTTGTATTTAATGAAGTTTATGTTGGGCACATATTATCAACAATAATAATCTCATCTTATTACTTTAAAGCTTTCAAAATAAAGTTTATATTAAAGTTTTCCTCATAGTTTTTGGAAAATAATAACTTTAAAAAAAAAAAAGCAAATTTTGAACCTCTCCAATTTTGTATATTGAACTAAATGAGATACTGTTATAATGTTTTTGGAAATACAGCTTTGCGGGTTTTAAGAAAGTGGGTTCAGATCAACCGTTGTATTGATGTTGTCTATTGGAAAGTGGGGCACCATTTCTGTTGTAGTATAGTAAAACCGCCTCGTACACAAGATACCAGCATTTGGCCCCACATAAAATTTCCTTTTGGGGCGTCATTCATGGTGAGGTAGCCTCGTGCAATGTACACAATTTATACATAGCTAAGACCAACATCGGAGAATGTACAAAATTTATACATAGCTAAGACCTACCTCGTACAATGTACACAATTAATACATAGCTAAGACATACCTCGGACAGCTTTATTAGCCGTCAAGCTCATTATGAAAATTAGTGACAGACAAAGCCCTCCCATCTACTAGGTGTTTTTTTTTTCAGAATTTTTTTCCACAGATTGTGGGCCTACTTGAAAATATTTACATATTCCGTTCTTCGGGGTGGGGGGGGGGGGGGAGAGGAGTCTTAGGGATGATGCTTGGAAAGAAAAAACGCTGTTCCCATGCGAATTAACACACACCCACATACACACACAAACACACAAGCCAGCATAGTTTGAAGATTTTCACTTATTAAACGAATCCGTTAATTACATTCAATTTTAAGTTTATTAAATGCTGGCGACTACTAGCAATTAGAATTCTGTATACAGGAAAATACTTCGTGTGAACTCGATAATCTTTCTCGGTGAAAAAAATAAATAAATACAACGCTATCAGCCGTAATCTGATAAATATTAATTAAAATTTTAACATGAAGACTAAATTATAATATGTATACTTACATTATTCTCATTCGAAACATTAGACGCACAGACATTAGGAGATAAAAACGCAATTAATATGTGACTGTAAATGAATTTTAAATATAGACACATTGTATAATAGTTGGACAGATCAGTGATAACACTTTTAGAGAGAAAGTGTTTTTATAGGGGCTATGCACACATGGATACAGGTTTGATACGGTGCAAACGATTTTTTAGAAAAACCACGAGAGGGAAGTGTATCGTGTCTAGAAAAAAAGGCACGTTGGCTTGTGTCAATACGTGCAGTGATTTTCTAGTAAACCCCAGTTACGGCTGTACTATGTTTTATTTAAGGGTGTGGCCGCTTCATTTTCCTTGAAAATATAACCATGCTTTAAAAATTTTTAAGAATAAGCTGAAAATGTGAAAAGAAAAAAAAAGTAGCAAAGCATTGATCGGTAGGAAAAGCATTGATCACTTCTAAAATTTCGTCCAAATATAAGCGACCAAAAAAAAAAAACCTTAGTAAATTGAGAAAGTTCGAATTATTTGTTTTTTTTAATACATTTAAAGTCCTATTATTATAAATGATTGTATTCTTGTTCTATTTTCATTTCTTCATTTTTAAGTCGATATTTCAGTTATAAAAACAAGTAATACTGCAGTTATTATTTGACGCAGATCATTTTAACTTAGCTGTCACCCAATTCACTAAAATATTCGACACAGGGCTTTAAACATCTAACCACATAAGCTCTCGAATCTATTCACAAGTATAATAAAAATAATTGATTCAATTAGAAAAAAGCAAAGCATTTTTTTAGTACATTTAAAAAAATAATTAGCGTTATCATGACTTTTGTTTTGTGAAGTCTATTTAAGTACCAACCGTTTTTATAACCACAATGGGAAAATTATTTTCACGGTTGATTCTTTTTTTAATGTCTGTTACTACCGTGAAGTTTAGCACGTTTCAACTTGGTTTACGTTTTTGTTCATAACATTCGTATTCGTTAAATTTTAGTATTTTACAAGCTTTTATTAAACTCACTTCCTCTGTCTGTCTAGATTGAAACGGCCGAGCAAAATTGCAGGCACTTCTAACTGACATATACGGTTCGTAATTGGTACGTGGGTCAAGACATGAAGACAATGCATCATGACATTCAATTTGACTTAATTGGATGCCTAATTAATTTTTTATGAATTAATCAAAATTTTGACCTGATTAGTAGGCAGACTTATTGTTTTTGGAATCAAAGCGAATTCCAAGTTTTCCAGTATTTGTGCCAATCTCAATTTTTTATTTTAAATTTATTTTTTAGAAATCAGGACATGTTAGGTACAACTTATGGACACTTGAAGTCGATCAAAAGTAGAGCAGCTAATAATATATATTTTCATTTACCTAACTGAAATGGTAGCCTATCGCGTTATAGTTACTACACAGATGGACAAACAGACATGAATACAAGATTGTTCAACAGGGTTTTTCCGACTTAGGATAGTGTAAACAGCTTATGATTTTTTTCGCATGATTACACTATTTCCTTTATACTCCAAATACGAGAAAGTAAAAATACAATTACGATATTTTTTATTTATAGAATATTTAATGTGCATTTCATAGAAACAATTCAAAAATAAAATGCATTATGTGCTTTGGATACACATCGTTTGCATAAAAAATAAATAAATAAATAAATATATATATATATATATATATATATATATATATATATATATATATATATATATATATATGTGTGTGTGTGTGTGTGTGTGTTGTATTTAAAGTTATAGTAATATAAAAGTAATTTCAATATTAATAATTAAGATAACAGTAGATTTAATTTTCATTGCGCCATTTCGGCATAGTCTGTGATGTATTCATCCATGCTGACATCAATGGTGATAAGTCTGTCAAGACACAGCGGTATAAGACTAATTAATCCGTAGAACAATCCCTGCTCCCTCTTCAGAACTTTCATCTCCCATTCCTTGTACCGAACTTTTTCAAGATCCGCTTCCGGTTTGAGGTGCGCCATCATCTCTGCGCATGCGTCTTTGATAGTTTTCTTCAGATTGTGTTGCTTGTCGTTTTCGCAGGCTGCGCGGACCTGACACAGTGGGAATACAATGTTCTTCTGGACTTCAGAGAAGGCTCTGATGAGAAGATATGAAAGGAATAAAAAGAAAGAATAATAATTTTAAAAAAAAAAAGACTGAATTTTAATCTATTAGATATCCTCCAAAAAATCCCGATAATCTGTCACATAGCACTGCCTACTAATCAAAGATAAGGTTCGATAGCTGTGGACTGCAACTTATCTGGAAATACAACTCCAAAATCAAACAACTGCTGCCTTGTTCTTGGTTTGTCAAAGGCTATGGAAGCAAATCCAGAAAGAAAAGCAGGCTGAAATCGGAATGAACGGCCTCAATGGCGCATTACAAGTTGAAAATTCTTTACTGTGTTGGAGGGGATCCATTTCAAACTAGAATTAAGAACGAAGAAGAAGAATGAAGCACTTGCTTTGGAGATTGAGAGCACGACTGCTATCCCGAAAGTATCGAGTTCGGATCCCGGCTTGAACCTACTAAAATTTCTCAAGCCGACATATGGTGGTTACCTGACTTACGTCAGGTAAAGTAAAGTCATGTGGGTAGATTGCTAAACACATTTCTCTTCATATTCCCCGGTCTAAAAAACAGGTGAACTTTACTTCACCTGCCCCACAGACCGTCAGGAGCGAAGGGGTACTTACTCTATTTACAATAAAATTCTTTTTTTCCCCAGAAAATGGACATAACTAATATTTTCAACTAATATTATTACTAGCAAAAACTATAAATACTTAGAATAAAACTTCAGATAATATTTATTAAGATAATTAATTACGAAAACTGTAGGCCTACGTACTTAGAATAAAACTCAACGGCTTAGAGGAAATTTGTTAAAATTCTCAGATAATTTTGATCGAGATAATTAATTTCGGAAACATTAGTTAGTTAACGTAAACCTCCACGAACTTCAAGATTTGGTAAATTTTCTCAGATAATATAAATTAAGATAATTAATTACAAAAAAACTATAAGTACTTAGAGTAAAATTACACGGCGTTGATCAAAAGGTTTTAATATTCTCAGATAATATTAATGAAGAAAATTAATTACGGAAACTGTACGCATTTAGAATAAAACTCTTAGGTCTTGAGGAAATTGTCAAAATTTTCAGATAATTTTTATCAAGATAATTAAGTAGAAAAACTATACGTACTCAAAATAAAACTCTACAATTCTGTGAAAATGGTCGAAATTCACAGATAATTTTAATCAAGATAATTAATTACAAAAACTGTACGTACTTAGAGTAAAACTCCACAGCCTTGAGGAAATGGTCAATATTCTCAAACCCAGCTGTCTTGACCCCTTTAGCCACCTTCACATGTGTGGAGAACTCTTTGATGTTTCGGATGACGGTCGTCGTTTGGGGCAGGGTCTTCTTCACGGTCAGCATGAACTCGCCTAGGTTGTGCTCAAAGCTGCTCTCAAAGTCCCTGGCTTTGGTGAGCAGATCTGGCATCGTCTGCTGCTGGGTCTTTAACCTCTGGACCATGGACAGGTCGTTTTCTGGATGGGCAGACGGAAGGAAAGTAAAATGTACCTCATGACGTTGATGGAAGTAGGTTAAATTATAATAATGGTCAGACGGAAGGAAAGTAAAATGTATCTCATGACGTTGGTGAATGTAGATTAAAACATAACAAGCTGACCCGCGGCATATCATACGCCGCTATTTAGTTATTTTCTACTTTTCAGTACTTCATAGTGAATTCGACACTACCCTCCCTTCCATTCCCATCCATCTCCCCCCACTCTCCCATCCCCACCATTGTGAAAGCAGCAGTCCGTGACGACAGTACACGGACGACAATAAAAAGAGCAAGCAGAACTTCTTACCTCTCATTAGTTTCAAATCGTTTAAAATCTAAATTATCTGCCCCAAATAGCCGGCTCTACGATTGTAAACATTCGAGGTGAACCTTAGCTCAACAGAATGGTGGGGGTGGTGGTGGTAGCTATATGCATAGAGAGCTGGGGAGTAACGGCGTGCTTTTACGTGGTGTCTCGCATGGTCCCTATGAAGAGTATTATATATATATATATATATATATATATATATATATATATATATATATATATATATATATATATATATATATATATATATATATATATATATATGTAGGACGACTTGCCTAGTAATTGATTAAAACAGGGGTTCCCAACCTTTTTTAACTCTAGAGCACATTCTTAAATATCGGTAGGGTGGCGGGCACCACCTATTTTTAATCGACAAACTCCTTCCAGAGGCGTAGCGACCCTTCCCGTCACCCGGGGACAAAACTTTCGATTTGCACCCCCACTCAAACTTTCGATTTGCACCTCCCCGCTCAAACTTTCGATTTATATATATATATATATACCGAGGGGTCTATGGGGGGGGGGGGTTATGACCCCCCCCCCTAACCACCCCTGCCTACGCCACTGGTATCTGGACATACTTAACGACCATAATGTTTTTTTTTCCGTCGGGAATAAAGTTTCTTTTTTCCTCAAGGCGGGCACATACGAATCGTTCGGCGGGCGCCATGGCGCCCGCGGGCACAGGGTTGGGAACCCCTGGATTAAAACAAAACAAATATACAAATGAGTCTAGAATTCTACCTGGGTTAAAACCAGTTGGCGATTTTCAAATTATTTTTTTTTCAGTAAACACAAGCATATTCTAATGGCATTGTGTAAATTGTTTTAAAAAAACTGGAAGATTTCAAATATGTTAGTATTGTATGTTGCTCTAAAATATGTATTATGCTGCATCATTAAACTGTCCTATTTTAAAATTTTCTCAGTCTGTCGGTAACTAGAATTTAATAAAGGGAAGCAACAAAAAAAAATATCAAATACTTGTCCATTATTTGCTTCTTCTTAAATCTTGTTTTCGCCCCTTAACGAGGAATGCCCAAATTCTATCTTGAACTATATGGTTAACTCTACTATTTTTGTAAAAACTAACAAGAATATTGCTTTTAAAGTAAGTTAGTCTTTGTGACCCTCTTCCTTAACCCTTAACCGTGGTTTTGTATTTGTTGGTGACTATTAAGTACCAAAATTATCCGTTTTAATCTAGTCTGAAATCTGTGTAAACAATTAAGTATATAAATTATCCGGTGTTTAATCTATTATGTGATTTTTGTCAGAGGCGTAGCGACCCTTCCCAGCGCCCGGGGACAAACTGTCCATTTGGCTCACCCCCCCCCCCCCATAAATTTTCTATATTTATAATGCAAAATTGCAGCTAAAAAGAGCTTTCAATTTTTTTTCCAACCCATTTTGGCGCCCCCTAGGGGTCGGCGCCAATGGACATATGTACCCCCCCCTCGCTACGCCTCTGTTGTAGACATCTAAGTATCAACATTATCTTGTTTTAATCTATTCTATGATCGCTGTACAACCTACGTACTAAAACTAGCGAGCTTTAATCTATTCTATGATCTCTGTAGAACCTACGTACCAAAACTAGCGAGCTTTAATCTATTCTATGATCGCTGTACAACCTACGTACTAAAACTAGCGAGCTTTAATCTATTCTATGATCTCTGTACAACCTACGTACCAAAACTAGCGAGCTTTAATCAATTCTATGATCTCTGTACAACCTACGTACCAAAACTAGCGACCTTTAATCTATTCTATGATCTCTGTAGAACCTACGTACCAAAATTATCGAGCTTTAATCAATAGTCCTTGCAAACACGTGACCTAAATCACGTGATACCTGCGTCCGCCGCCACAGTGGTGTACATCGGACGTAAACACAATCAGCTGTTCACCAGCACGTGTTCACCAGCGCTGGACGTGTTCACTGTATGTAAAGAATCGCGCCCGCGGAAAAGGAAAAATATGTTAAAAAACTTGAACTCTTAGGAATTGAAGATCCTTATACTGTTTGACAGTTTCGTGGATAATATAAATATGTGGCCGAAATGTCTAAATAAATATTCTGTTAGTAGTACTGTTTGCGTTAAGAGTTTAAGTAGGTATATTATAGGTTATCTAAATCTGGTTAATGTAGATTATAGATTCTCTGTTAAGTACAAGATTTAGTAGCAACAGATCTAGTACAACCACACTACTGTAGCAAACGTGAGACCACTTAACTCCTAAAAAACCCACACTACAACGGCTAATATAATTCATGGGTAATAACCACTGCTGTTCTTAGATCTCAGCCAATCTGGGTAGCATGTTATACAATTTAATATCCAGCAGGGAAGTGATCAGACACATTAATACTGATGTTCAACCCTCAATAAAACCAAAGAGGAGTCAGTACCACTGCCCTCCCCTGAAAATTTCTCACCTCCGTGATACCCTCAGGGCCCAGCAGGGAGAACAAAGGGGAAAGTCCCACTGCTCTCCCTTCAACATTTCTCACCTCGATGTCATGTTATGTCATTTATAGCACACATGGCTTATCAGGGGAAAGCATTAAGAATCTTAACTCTGGACAGCTACACACTAGTATACTAGCTACACACTAGGTGCCTACTGTAAACTACTAGACTGTAGGCCCTATGTAGACCTGCAATTGTATCAAGTGTAGACTGGGTCCATTGTTATTATTCTAAACCATCTCACTTATAATGTTTCTTGCTTGATTTGTTTCTTTTATAAACAGTGGATTTTTAAAAAAAATTAGCCTAATCATTAACCAAATAATAATAATGTGGTTATTTGTTTTTGGCTGGTATGATCTAGATTCTACTACTAGGCTACATAAACTTAGTAGACTAATTACTAGATATGCATTTTAATTTAATTAAACTCAGTCCAGTATCAGATACATATTGCTGTAAAAAGACACAAAGTAGGTAGGCCATAGTAATTTATTAAAGTCTTCTACTACAATAATATCAATTACATGCTTGTATAAAATTTTTAAAATTTAATTTAAGTAGCAGATTCTAGATCTAAGTCTAGTCATACAATCTATTTCAATTTCAGATAATTTCGTTTGCTAAAAAAATGATTAGATTGTAGAGCGAGATTTTAGATCTTAGAGACAATTACATGCTTTATTAGGCCTACTATGACTACTTTTGATTTATTATGGGTGTATTTTGAATCGAATGTAGATCTAAATTTTGTAATTAAATTTAAGTAAAGAAGTAGATTCTAGATTCTATGTCAGCGGAGCCAGTCACCCTAAATCCAGAATCTAGATATGTGGTCCGAATTTTGTTTACGCCATGTTTAGAGCTAGATTCTAGATCTAGATATTAAAACACTATTATTAGGCCTACTATTAGATTATTATTCTTATTATTACTTTTGACTTTGTCTTTTACTATTAGTATTTGTGAAGGTCGAGCATATTTGTTTTATTAATAATTATCTTTTAGAATTAAAATGAAGTTTATTATTTTACTGTCCATACCTGAAACAAAGTATCGAGAACTGCATTTGATCAGATTCGTCTACTTAAACTCTAAACGCAAACAGTATTACTAACAGTATTTTTATTTAGAAATGTTGGCCACATATTTATATTATCTACGAAACTGTCAATAACAGTATAAGGATCTTCAATTCCTAAGAGTTCAAGTTTTTTAACGTATTTTTCCTTTTCCGCGGGTGCGGTTCTTTACATACAGTGAACGCGGCCAGCGCGGGTGAACAGCTGATTGTGTTTACGTCTGGTGTACACCAGCGTGGCGGCGGACGTAGGTATCACGAACGAACGTGACGTCATATGATCTATTCTATGATCTCTGTACAACCTACGTACCAAAACTAGGGAGCTTTAATCTATTCTATGATCTCTGTACAACCTACGTACCAAAGTTAGCGAGCTTTAATCGTGTCTGCGGTCTATTGGTGAGTTCTATCCTGCAGGCCGTGAACTCATCTTCCCACAACCTGACTCGAACAGTCAACTTGACTGTGCTAGTTGACTTCAACACTTCCTTGTCTACAAGAATTTCCTGGAATATCGGCGAGAGCTTGCCTTTCTGGTGCAGTGTCCACAGTCCCTCTAAGGCTTTGACGGTGTCAAAAGTTACAGACAAAACACACCCTGTAATCGGCAAGGGATAAGTTGGTTTACCATACTGTAATAATATCAACATGAGAAACCAGTTGTATAAGACAAAAGACAGTATTCATCAACAATGAACTATAATAATATACAACATTAAAGCAATAATAGTTGGCTAAGTTCGTCGGATTATTAATAGTAAAAGGAAAATTCAAAATATATCTCACACAGTACGAACAACAATAAACGTGAAAGAGGAAAGGGAAACAATCGATAAAATGAATTTACGAGCCGAGACGGAGTGGTTTCCCTTTTACCGTAGCACGCACAAGGGAACAATGCGATGCTTTAACTTCATCAGTATAATACTGTTTATGATAAGAGAAAGCGCAGAGAAAACAGTGTCAAGGTAATCGTATAGAGGGATTTGATGCTGTTTTTACAAATGTAAGGCCATGTTTACTTTGTACTTATTACGGATATTAATAATATTATTTAGATTGAAAAAGCTAGACTGCTAACCCCAGAGTCTCAAGTTCGATGTCTACTATATCACTGGCCACTTTATACATCGCGTTATGCAAAAACAAAACAACAAACCGGTAGGTTTATTTTAATATAGACATTAAAAATAAAATAATAGCACCAATAGGTTTATTACAGCACCAAAAAAGCCCATTACAGCCCCTAATAAGTTTATTAAAGCACTGCATAGGCTCATTACAGTACTAATAAGCTCATTACAGTACTATTAGGCTCATTACAGTACTAATAAGCTCATTACAGTAATAATAAGCTCATTACAGTACTAATAGGCTCATTACAGTACTAATAAGCTCATTACGTTACTAATAAGCTCATTACAGTACTAATAAGCTCATTTCAGCACCGAATAAGCTCATTACAGCTCTGGATAGCTCATTAAAGCTCCGATCCTGTCGGCCCACCAGGATTCTTCGCACCGGCCAAGTCCACCCCAGTTTTTCTTCCAGACTTTTTTCTCCAGGGGGCACTTGAAATTTTCGGGGGGGGGGGGGGGGCGGTAGACTTTCTTCGGGGGGGGGGGGGGGGGGCGGACACTGTTAAAAGTATATATTTTCTATATAAATTATATAAATTTCATTTCGTTCGGAGATGCCTAGAAGAAACTCTGGTCCACCCCTGCCCATCAGAATAAGACACCAAGTGTCAACCTTACCATGTTTGAAGCCTTCCAGCACCACACCGTCTGCTACACGCTTCGCATCCAGTGCTCCCTTGACCTTCGCCAGGTCAACGGTCCGCAGGTGGTCGAGCATCTTGTCCATGACGTCCATCATGAAGGCGTGGTTCGAACCCACGGTGGTCTTGCTGTTTGGTCGCGCATCGAGGGCGTCGATATATAACCCGATGGAACCTAAATATAGAACAAATGAAACCTAAATATAGAACAAATGATCTCTAATAGAACCTAAATATAGAATAAATGTTGTCTAATAGAACCTAAATATTGAACAAATGGTGTCTAATAGAACCTAAATATTGAACACATGATGTCTAATAGAACATAAATATAGAACAAATGATGTATGGTAGAACCTAAATATAGAACAAATGTATGGTAGATCCTAAATATAGAACACATGATGTCTGATTGAAAAAAAGCATAGAATAAATGTGTGTGTTAGTGGGGAGGAGGGTGGCGGCGTGACCTAGCAGTAGAGCACTAAACTGCTAATGCTAAAATTAAGAGGTCGAATCCGCGTTTAACTCAGTAGAACGTCCCTGAGTCCACCCAGCTCTGATGGGTAACTAACTCACGTTATGGAAAGTAAAGGCGGCTGGGCATAGTGCTGACCACATTATCTCTTCATATGTTGAGCTCACACAGACTGGCGCACTCTATTTCACATGCCACATACACCGTTAGGTTCGAAAAGAGAACTTTACTAAAAAACAAAAGACGTTCTTAATAAACATAAAGTAAAACAAAGAATCTCATAGAAAGCCTAAACATAAAACAAAATATTTCATAGTCTAAACATAAAAGAATAGATCACAGATAGATCGTACACAGAGACATAAAATAAAACACATGGTTTCAGAACCGTAGACTGGATGAATAAATTAATAGAACCTACACATTGAACAAAGTATCTGAGATACAAAAACATGGAACAAGTGACGTATAATAGAGCTATAACTTAGAACAATAGACTTAAGATAGATCGTAAGTATAGAACTAAAGGTGTTCCATAGAACCTAAAAAAAACTAAAGATAAAACAAAATAATACAATCTAATTAAAAACATAAGATCTATGATAGAACCATAACTAAAAACGAAATGATCTCTGATAGAACCTAAATATAGAAGAAATTATCTCTAATAGAACGATACAACCTAAGCATAGAAAAAATGATTAAAAAATATTTTAAAAAACAACGATCTGAGAACAGTAGTATGGATTAAATAACCTTAATTGAACCTAATCATAGAACAAAGAATCTTTTCTAAAAACAAAACGGAACAAATGATATATGATACAAATAAACCATGGAAAAAAAGAACGTATCATATCCTAAGTAAATAGTCTATGTTAGAACAAATAACAAAATAATTACGCTTTACGAAATAACGCTTGGTGCGATGTATTAAATCCCAACTAAAAATAGTACATTTCTGGATTAAAATAGAACACCTGATTAGATCTAACTTAGGCAGGGGACAATACCCAGTTGAACCGTAGAAAATAAATAATTCTCTAGTTTCTAATTATAAAAATTAAAGTAGCATATAGAGCTAACACATTACAATGGTACGGTAACCTAAATATTGATCTAATTATCTGAGGCAATCCTAATTTAGATTTCCATAAATATTTCTATTAGTTGTGAACCGAGTGGAATTATTCTTTTCAAAATATTCGTTTCTCAATCATATATTACAGCAAGGTGGATATTGTATATCACGAGTTTATTCTTGACGGACAATGAAGTTTATTGTTAAGTCTCAAATAGAATGATTGTCTAATTTATGAGCCCTACTTATGTCGGTCTTTAATCTTAGTTGTGTAGGTCTTAGGTTTTTTTTTCTAAACATGAACCGCGAACTGTAACCTTGGGTACTAGCAGCGAAATTGTTGTGAAATGGGTTATTTGTGGTATGTGGTAGGTAGTTTATGGTATGTTGTTAGTAGTTTGTGGTACGTGGTACGTAGTTTGTGGTATGTTGCTGGTAGTTTGTGGTACGTGGTACTTAGTTTGTGGTATGTTGTTGGTAGTTTGTGGTACGTGGTACGTAGTGTGTGGTATGTTGTTGGTAGTTTGTGGTACGTGGTACGTAGTGTGTGGTATGTTGTTGGTAGTTTGTGGTACGTGGTACGTAGTGTGTGGTATGTTGTTGGTAGTTTGTGGTACGTGGTACGTAGTTTGGGGTATGTTGCTGTTAGTTTGTGTAGTGGATAGTTTATGGTATGTGTTGGGTAGTTAGTGCTATGTGTTTAGTAGTTTTGTAATAATGTTGGTAGTTTGTGGAATGTGGTAAGTAGTGTTTGGTATAAGATGGGTAGTTTGTCGTAAATGGTAGGTAGTTTTTGGTATTTGGTAGGTAGTTTGTGGTATGTGATGGGTATTTTGTGGTATGTAGTTAATGGTATGTAGTAGGTAGTTTGTGGTATGTGATGGGTATTTTGTGGTATGTAGTTAATGGTATGTAGTAGGTAGTTTGTGGTATGTGATGGATCGTTTGTGGTATGTGTAAGTTAGTTTGTGGAATAATGTGGGTAGGTTGTATTATGATGTTGTTAGTTTTGGGTTTGAATGCAAATCAATCACGTTCAGTAACAGAGTTTCTTCCAGGCATTTCTTCGGGGGGGGGGGGGGGGCCGAAAAAAGTCTACCGCCCCTCCTCCCCGAACGAAATGAAATTTATATAGAAAATGTATACTTTTAACAGTGTCCGCCCCCCCCCCCCGAAGAAAGTCTACCGCCCCCCCCCCTCCGAAAATTTCAAGTGCCCCCCCCCCCGGAGAAAAAAGTCTGGAAGAAACACTGTTCAGTAAGTAAACTAGTAAAATAACCAGCCAAGAAAGGTTGATATGATTTTCCTTGCAACGATAGGCTGACTAGCTTTGTCATAACAAATACGTTTTGCTACCAACAATATGTAGACCGTAACTATAAACATTTCCGTCAATATTTGTACTTCTCCGAGTAAGCAAACAGTATAAGTATGGTAATACGGCTTTTATGGCCCTCGTTTATACCCTGTTGTATTGGAGCCAGGGGGGTGGTCGATAAGAGGGGGGAGGGGTACAGAAATGCTATAGCCGATGCAAATACTTGCTATCTGTTTTGTTTACGTAATTTAATTAACTAATTGAAAAAAAAATTAAAACGGTTGGGGTACCCTCACTTTGAGTTTGAAAATATGAAGATAGAATTATAACTAGCTCGCGTTTAGGCCTACGTACCGCATTTTACATACTACACAAAGACGCAATGTTAGAGGGAGTAAAGGTTGCAAAAAGCAGATCAAGGACAGATTAAATAATCAATAGAAAACGAATACACCCAACATAACTTTATAAGAAAGATCTGCGCCGAACATACCACGCAAAGCGAAATGGCGCCCCCCCCCCCCCCTTTAAAAAAAAACTTTTCATGAACTCTGAAATGCCTGATCGATTTCCGATCAATGGATACAAAGTGTGTTCGATTCATGTATCTTGTCGTAGAGGTACCGCCACTTGACGTGTTAACTTATCTCCCCTGGACGTCGAGTGGTGGTAGTTGATTCAATATAGACAGTTGACGTTTAGTTTTTTTCTTCTTGTAGCTGGTTAAGTCAACATAGCGTCAAGAATGATACCTGTGTTTGATTCAGATTTAAGAGTGCTACCGACTATTATTATATTATCTGTCTATTCGTTTTGGTATTAGGTTGAGAATTGGACTAGCTCTGCGTATATTTATATTGCAAGTTTTTACTTTAGTCACGAGGAAAGTGTGTTGGTGGTTGTATAATGTTGTATTTGTGGTTAAGGTTTAGTAATGTTGTGTTTATGGTTAGGTTTTGTAACATTATGTTTATGGTTAGGTTTTGTAATGTTGTGTTTGGGGTTAGGTTTTGTAATGTTGTGTTTGTGGTTAGGTTTTGTAATGTTGTGTTTATGGTTAGGTTTTGTAATGTTGTGTTTGTGGTTAGGTTTTGTAATGTTGTGTTTGTGGTTAGGTTTTGTAATGTTGTGTTTGTGGTTAGGTTTCGTAATGTTCTTTTTAGGCTTTATGTGAAGCTGTGTTTGTTGTTAAGTTTTGTTATGTTGACTCATATTTATGAAAGCAATTTCTTTCGTAAGCTGAGGTGTGACGTGATTTTAGTGGAGGAGGGGGGGGGGGTGGCTTTTTTTGTGACTATATGTGATAATGGGTAGAATAAGAAAGGGGAAAGTAATCGTCAAAAAGTTTACATTAGTTTATGGACGACCCTCAACATTTTAATGTCATTGATGTTTTCAGTATATCTTGTAATGATGATGAATAGTCCTAACACTAAACTTAACCCTAATCGCAGTTTTAATCCAAACCTCATTTATGGCTATAACTCATAGGCGTAGCGAGGGGAGGGGGGGGGGGGGGGGGCGGACGGGGCGCACCGCACCGGGTGACACCATTTAGGGGTGGGGGTGACACCAAGGCAAAAAATAGCAAAATCTATAGAGAAAAATGATAATTCCACTTAATTAAGTGATTAATTCGAGTGTTAAATAGTCTTTTTAGAGGTGCAAATCGAAAGTTTGACGGGGGGGGGGGGGAAGGGGGGTGCAAATCGAAAATTGAAATTTTATCCCCGGGAAGGGTCGCTACGCCTCTGGGGGGTGACACCATTAAGTGCCGCACCGGGTGACACCCGATCTCGCTACGCCACTGCTATAACTTACTAAACCTAAACCTAAGACCCTAGCCCTAAAAAAAAAGGACATGTGATTTAAATATACTAATTTTACAGTTATGCTGATTTTAGTGAAATTATCAGACACACATTTTTTTTTTAAATTATACAACCACCAAGGGAGAGCAATCTAACGAATCAATGAACCGTATTTCTCTCAATAAACCTACGTCACATCTTGCCGCGTCTATTGTTCTTCTATATTCAAAGTTGATTGAATGAAGGGGTAGGTCACACGGAATGTAACGATTTGTTATCTGCCCCTTTATTCCACTCTTGCCTCGAGGATTATTTCCCTTGTATATTTTTTTTTCTAACGCAAGTGGAAAGTAAAAATAAAGAACCAACAAGAAATTTAAGTTATGTGTAATGTATCATAATGTCTACAATGTATAAGAATATATACAATGTATAAGAGTATGTACAATCTATACGAATGTCTGCAAAAATAGGTTTTATACAATACATAAGAATATCTGCAATGTATAGGAATTTTTTACAATGCATTGGAATTTTTACAATGTATAGGAATATCTACAATGCATATGAATTGTTACAATGTATAGGAATATCTACAATGCATATGAATTGTTACAATGTATAGGAATATCTACAATGTATAGGAATTTTTACAACGTATAGGAATATCTACAATGTATAGGATTATCTACTATGTTTCAAAATATCAACAATGTTTAAGAATATTTATAATGATTAAGATTATGTAGAATGATTAAGAATGTATTCAATGTATATGATTTTCTACAGTGTATAAAATTACTGCAATTTTGATAGGATTGTTATAATTTATAAGAATATCAACAATGTATCCGAATATCTACACTGTATAAGAATATATGCAGTGTATAGGAATATCTACACTGTATAACAGTGGTTCCCAACCTTTTTCGAGTGGCGACCCCCTTTTATAAAAAGTAAGTGACCGCGACCCCCATAGAATTAAAAAGCCAAAATTAGTATGGAAATTAATAAACACTAAAATAAGATTTTCTAGTAGACTTTCAATATGAACTACTCTTGCTAACTATTTTAATAGCATGAGTAAAATTGCATACTATTCACTCAACCTTCGTGGTTAAGTTTTTAATTTTTAAAAAAATTTTGCTAACGCCAACCTATTTCATTATAATTATCTTAATTTTGTTTTTAACCGAAGAATAGTGTTGAAAATATATTCTCGAAAAGTCAATCAATTTTACGTTTGGGTATGAATGGTGAATACTACACCAAAATTGTGTCTGCAGTTTTTCATCTTCCTCGGAATCATTCTTCAAATCAAAGAATTCATAATGTAATTCATCGGGAATGCTGGCAACATCAAGGGAAGAAGAGAATGGGTAATGCGTAAATGCAAATTCTTCTTTTTTCATCTCAGAGAAATAGCGATGCAGTTAGTTTTCAAGAGATTCAATATGCCCAGAAATCGCTTCTTTCAAAATTTTAATTATCTCACAATCAGATTCATCTACCACACCGCAGAGTTTCAGAAATTTACAATATTCCCAAGATTTATTTTTCTTTACCGATTTTGCAGCTTTGATATAAATGTCCCGAGATTATCATGGAAAGTTGTAATATTCGTTCATTTTCCCTGAAGATTCAGAATCAGGTTAAGCTTATCTTGATGTTCGAACACATCTGCTAGGTATGATACTCTCTCCAACCACTCTATGTCGTTTAAAGTATAACTAAAAGTCTTTGGTTCCTTTGCACTTCCAAGAACAATTTGATTTCAGATTTCAATTAAAAAACACAATTTACAACATTTCGTTTGACAGCCAGCGTGCTGTAGTGTAGAAGAGAAGAACCTCGTGATCTATATTAATGTTTTTGCTCAGTTCTTTGAAGGCTCCAGATTTTATATAATTTACGACTTATACTAGCAATGGACTCTTGATGTCGATTGGTTAGGGCAGTGGTTAGGGAGCTAAATCTTTTCTGTTTTCTGAAAGCCCGATTTTAAGCTAAACATAGATGGCGCGCCATCCGTACAAACCCCCACAGCCGTTCTAACCCATTTTTAATCATCCAATTTCAAAAAAGGTATTTATTTTCTCCATGCTATCTTCACAAAAGAGCAACTCTTCTTTGCTATCATTCGCATGAATATAGACACAGACCAGCAACTGCGAACACGAAATCACGTCTGTTGATTTATCAACATGAAAAGCAAACTGGTGAAAGTTTAATTTCGATAAAAATGTGTTATTTAACATTTACGTACATGCAGCGTTTGATGAGATTTTCTCCTATTGTTTTTTTTTTTTTTTTTTGCTTGGCATTGTCTATCGCGACTTCATTTGATGCTTGCACTAATGCTGGTGAAAACTTCCTAATCGATCAAGTCTCTGGCGTTTGCAACTAGCTTCTTACCGACGAAAGAACTCCATATATTTTTGGTGTGTTCCGAATGACTTGTCTCAAATGGCGTTTTAGTTTTGAAGATTTCATAGATTCGTGACTGAGAACAACTTTGTACAGTGCGCTTTGTTTCTTCTCTATTACATTTCCAGTGATGTTAATGAAGTCGAATTTCAAAAATTCTTCTACTAAATATTTATGTTTTGTTTCAAATTACTAAGGTTTAGTATACCAGTTGGCGACCCCCCAGGGGGTCGCGACCCCCAGGTTGGGAACCCGTGCTGTATAAGAATAAATGCAGTGTATAGGAATATCTACACTGTATAAGAATATCACTTACGGTCTACTATAGGTTGTGGTTTAAACAGTTTCTGATTGGTACGCCATAACGGAACAGTACCTACTTCGTTATGTGAGTTTTACTTACATGACGGACGAGCAAACATCGGTCGAGAATTGTCTTTAAGGTTCGGTCCTTCGTCGTTCATTTTCTCTGGACTTGGTATCCTGTAATAAACACAGGGGGTAATATACACAGACAGTAATAAACACAGAGAGTAATAAACACAAAGAGTAATATACACAGAGGGGAATAAACACAGAGAGTAATAAACACAGAGGGGAATAAACACAGAGGGTAATAAACACAGAAAGTAATAAACACAGAGAGTAATAAACACAGTAATAAACACAGAGAGTAATAAACACAGTAATAAACAATGAGAGTAATAAACACAGTAATAAACACAGAGAGTAATAAACACAGGAATAAACACAGAAAGTAATAAACACAGAGAGTAATAAACACAGAGAGTAATAAACACAGTAATAAACACAGAGAGTAATAAACACAGAGAGTAATAAACACATTAATAAACACAGAGAGTAATAAACACAGAGAATAATAAACACAGAGTGTAATAAACACAGAGAGTAATAAACACAGAGTCGCACGTAAGCTTGAACCTTTGAAAATGTCATGTACGGTGTTCCACAATGTAAACCTAGGTCCCTGTCGGCTCTTTGGATTTAAAAGAAATAGATAACGTAAAAAAAGAAAAGGTTCTAAAATTCCAAAAAAAGGGCAGTAGATTTATAAAAAGAGTTGTTACATTTAATTTAGAAATTAAATACATTTTATTTTATGATAATTTAGGCCTGATTGTTTATCTAACCTCAAAACTCTTTAATAATCAATTAAACTGATTGGTAATTAGACACATATGATGCTGCGTAATTTGCGAACCTCTGAGATTAATTTACAACGTGTATAGTTTATCAACTTAAACTTTAATTAATTTTGTTAATCTTTAATTTTCTTCTTTGTAACACGTATCCCTACAAGTAAAACAATGTAATTAAAAATGGGAGATAAGACTGTTAAATTAACAATCTTGGCTTAATCAGAAGATTACTCTGTATCGGATTTGTTAAATGATAATTAAATTTCGAATCAGTTTTTCGAGTTACTCAAAGATTAGTTTAAATAAATAAATTAGTAATCTAGTATGTAGCATTTTAGAAGACTAAACCCGCTTAATCTGTGAATCGATTAGCAAATAACTATAATCATAGCTATTGGTTGTGGGTGGAATATAAAGGTTATCAGTTAATCTGCTAGATTAGCAACAGATGGTGAGTTTATTACAATATGAGTACTCAATGTTTGCTAACAAAACACATTCAAATGTCAGATAATAAAATGTATCAAAATATTGTGCCTAGTTTTACACATATTGTACAATGTCTGGATATATATATATATATATATATATAAATATATATATATATATATATATATATATATATATATATATATATATATATATATATATAGGCCTACATGTATATGCGCATATATACATATTTGTTTTATATATATATATATATATATATATATATATATATATATATATATATATATATATATATATATATATATATATATATATATATAATATGTTTTTATACATAATTTATATATCAGAAAAACTACACACCTAAATTTGACGGACATTTTGAAACAAGATATCCTTACACACGGACTGCTAGAAAAATGTCGTTATTCCAGAGTTTAGAAAGCTCTGTGTGTGTTTACACCCATGCAATCATCAGAGCGTGACTAATTTATGCAGTGATTGATCCCCTTATTCTGTTAGTGTGGCAGCCACTTAGGGTTCTACAGCCGACAGCCGTGGAAAAGTGGTTCGAAAGTTGGATTGTTTTCATTCTTTTCAAACTTGGTAGTTTTTCCTTTTTTTAAATTATTTTGGTGGCATTTAAAACAGTGCGAAATTATTAGTTTTTGGAGAGGCTTAATTGAATGTTTAATTGTTTCAGCCTGATCTTTTAAGATATAATTTTTCGCTTGTTTTTTGCAATTTTTTTTTGCTTGTTTAGTATAACATTGCTGTAGCATAAAATGCTACACTTTACTCCCGGTTTTAAGTCTAAAAGCCCGTTTGCAAAATACAAAATCTGTTATGATAATTATTTTTAGAAGCTCGACTGACATCACATGTTGGCTACCATATGAGCGTGACAACGACAAAGCATCCTTTGAGGCCATGTTGCATCTTGAAATGCTTGGAACAACGTGGGACTCAATTTACCCCCCCCCCCCTCCCTTTTGTAGACTTAAGTAGTATATTTTAAGAAGCTCGCTTTGTTGTTCGCTTTAGAGAACTTCATCGGTTACAAAACATAGGAGTCATATATTTAAAAATATCTCTATTATGCTAAAAAAAAAATAATTATTTAAAAACACAGTTAGAGCCGTAAAATATATTTAAAAATATGTTTTCATTTACTATAGTTATCCATCATCGTATGTATTATGTGCACATTTTAGCTTGAAAAACATAAAGGGATACCTCCTTAACCACTAATTCAACTGCATTGGCCTGGTACGTATTTGTAAACAGAAAATTATAAATATGTATATGCGTAACCAAATACATAGACAGTAAGCCCGTGAATAAAACTACCCGTTTATGTTAGTGAACGAAGTGTTATAAACGAAGTCAAGTTAACAAATCCTCAATATAATTTAATCCTATCTGATCCAGCGCCTTGATTATGGAATACAAATTGATTTTTATTCCCCCGATCATGTTGTGGATCACTACACCACTTGATTCGTCTTTAGCTTAGATTTAAACACAAAGACATATTTATAAGTGGGGTTAGAGAACGGATATTATAATTGACTTCTAATGCTAGAATTTTTAAAACTAATCTGTAGTATTAGTCATTATAATCTTTTAATTCAAAATGTTTTTTTTTTGATTCCGTAAAGTTTAAAGTTAGGTGTGGGGTTTGGGTATTTTCTGTTGTGTACAGTCTAATTTTCTAAACATCAGTCAATTAGAAAAAAAAATTGTTTTATTCTCGATTTATTTTTAAAACACATAATTCATTCCCACCACCAACAAACCATCCCGTCCCCAAATCTATCAAAACCCACCCGTCCCCATCTCCCATCACACCCACCCTTCCCACAACCCATCACACATATCCGTCCCACAACCCATAACACCCACCAGTCCCACAACCCCGTCGCACAACCCATTGCAACCACCCGAAACACCACCCATCACACCCATCCGTCGTACAACCCATCACACCCACCCGTCCCACCACCCAACACACCTACCCGTCCCACCACCCATCACACCCACCCGTCCCACAATCCATCACACCCACCCGTCCCACCACCCATCACACCCACCCATCACACCCACCCGTCACACAACCCATCACACCCACCCGTCCCACCACCCAACACACCCACCGGTCCCACAATCCATCACACCCACCCGTCCCACCACCCATCACACCCACCCGTCCTACCACCCATCACACCCACCCGTCCCACCACCCATCACACCCACCCTTCCCACAACACATCACACCCACCCGTCCCCACCACACATCACACCCACCCGTCCCACAACCCATCACACCCACCCGTCCCACAACACATCACACCCACCGGTCCCACAACCCATTACACCCACCCGTCCCACCACCCATCACACCCACCCGTCCCACCACCCATCACACCCACCCGTCCCACCACCCATCACACCCACCCGTCCCACCACCAGTCACACCCACCCGTCCCACAACCCATCACACCCACCCGTCCCACCACCCAACACACCCACCCGTCCCACAATCCATCACACCCACCCGTCCCACCACCCATCACACCCACCCGTCCCACCACCCATCACACCCACCCGTCCCACCACCCATCACACCCACCAGTCTTACAATCCATCACACCCACCCGTCCCACAATCCATCACACCCACCCGTCCCACCACCCATCACACCCACCCGTCCCACAACCTATCACACCCACCCGTCCCACCACCCATCACACCCACCCGTCCCACCACCCATCACACCCACCCGTCCCACAACCCATCACACCCACCCGTCCCACCACCCAACACACCCACCCGTCCCACAATCCATCACACCCACCCGTCCCACCACCCATCACACCCACCCGTCCCACCACCCATCACACCCACCCGTCCCACCACCCATCACACCCACCAGTCTTACAATCCATCACACCCACCCGTCCCACCACCCATCACACCCACCCGTCCCACCACCCATCACACCCACCCGTCCCACCACCCATCACACCCACCCGTCCCACAATCCATCACACCCACCCGTCCCACCACCCATCACACCCACCCGTCCCACATTCCATCACACCCACCCGTCCCACCACCCATCACACCCACCCGTCCCACCACCCATCACACCCACCCGTCCCACCACCCATCACACCCACCCGTCCCACCACCCATCACACCCACCCGTCCCACCACCCATCACACCCACCCGTCCCACCACCCATCACACCCACCCGTCCCACCACCCAACACACCCACCCGTCCCACCACCCAACACACCCACCCGTCCCACCACCCAACACACCCACCCGCCCCACCACCCAACACACCCACCCGTCCCACCACCCATCACACCCACCCGTCCCACCACCCAACACACCCATAAGTCTTAGCTTACGTCACGATGAACTAAAACCCTATAGACATCAATTTAATTTTACTGGCTTTTCTTTATATTCGTGTGTGACTTTACGCAGATTGCTCGTGTACTAATTAATCGTGTTTGATAACCTTGCTTACTCCACATTAAGGTGGTGTGCCATTTATATAATATATAATATATATATATATATATATATATATATATATATATATATATATATATATATGTGTGTGTGTGTGTGTGTGTGTGTGTGTGTGTGTTGTAAGTATAAATCATTATGTCTTTCTGTATTTATATTTATCTTAGAATATATTTATGTTTTTTAAACTGCAAGTTTCAAGAAATTTATAAATCTCCATTCTTTTTTTTTTAACTTTGTACTAATCTATTTATAGCAGTAACAATAGTAACTTAAGACGGCTAAAAATAGCTTGTATTCTTAAAGTACGACTTCAAATGATTTACTCGACCGAGAAATGTAATCTAATATTTGTCTGTAGTTCTTAAAAGCCAGCAGACATGAACGTTGTTTAAGTTAAATCGCGTTCATGTCTGATGGCTTATTGATTTGTGGTTGACTAAAATTGTCCGTTTGTTTGTGTGGTTTAGAGTGTACGGAACACTCTAAGGTAGCGTCTATTGCTTGAGTGTGTGGTGTTTGTGTTAGGTTTCACTAACTGAGACGTCTTATGGTTGGTTGGTTGTTGGAGTGGGGCTGGGGGGGGGGGGGGGGGTACGGGCTGTGGGTAGGGGCTGAGGGTAAGGGCTGGGGGTACTTTCTGGGGGTACGGGCTGGGGGTACGGACTGGGGGTACATGTGAGGGTACGGCTGAGGGCACGGGCTGGGGTACGGGTTGGGGGTACGGGCTGGGGGTACGGGCTAAAAGTAGGGGCTGGGGGTAGGGGCTGGGGGTACTGGCTGGGGGTACGGGCTGAGGCACGGGCTGGGGTTAGGCAAGGGTTGGGTGTACATGCTGGGGGTACGGGCTGGGGCACGGGCTGAGAGTAGGGAAGGGTTGGGTGTACAGGCTGGGAGTACAGGTGAGGTACTGTGGGTACGGACTGGGGGCAAGGGCCTAAGGCTAGAGTTGTTTTAGGCATCTCTTAGTGTCGGCACTGTTCCAACGGAGTAGGTTCATCCCCCCCCACCCCGCCCGACGAAGTTTTTTATAGACATAACTAGATCCCGCCGCCTAAAAATATTAGTACACATTTCCTCCTTCCCCACCCTCTGCCAGAGAAAAATGTCAGAAGAACCCAGCTGGGGGCGCGGGGCGGGGCAGGGTCATATGACCCGTTTATCTGCCAGGGATTAGTAAGTTGCTAATTAAAATAAAAAGGCTAAAACAGACTGTGTAGAATCATTTGGTCAACCACTCATCCAGCCAGCCAGCCAGTCTAAAGGCTAGCTAACCAGCTAGCAAACCGGTTTGTCGATCTGTCTTTCTCTGTTTCTCTCTGTCTTTATGTCTTTGTTTCTCTCTGTCTTTATGTCTTTGTTTCTCTCTGTCTTTATGTCTGTTTATCTCTGTCTTTCTGTCTTTCTCTCTGTTTTTCTGTCTCCTTGACACTATATCCGTCACAGAGGCGTAGCGAGGGGTGGGGGGTGGGGGGGGGTGGGGGGTTGCGGACCGCACCGGGTGACACCATTTAGGGGGGTGACACCAAGGCAAAAATAGTAAAATATATAGAGAAAAATTTGAGGGGGGGGGGTGTGCAAATCAAAAGTTTGAGGGGGGGGTACAAATCGAAAATTGAAAGTTTGTCCCCGGGAAGAGTCGCTACGCCTCTGGGGGGCTGGGGGGGGAGGGGCGGGGGTGACACCATTAAGTGCCGCACCGGGTGACACCCGACCTCGCTTCGCCACTGTTCCGTCACCCTCTCTGTCTCTATGATACTCTCTGACTCTCTCTGTGTATATATCTCTTGGTCTCTCTATCCATGTCTCTCTTTCTCTCGGTCCTTTACTGTCTCTCAATCTCTTTGTCTCTTTATCCTGCTCTCTCTGTCTCTCGGTTTCTCTTTTGTCTATCTCTTAGTCTCTCTATTCCTGTCTTTTTTTCTCTACATCTCTCTATCCATGTCTCTCTGTCTCTCTCTATCTCTCTATCCCAGTCTTTCTGTCTCTCTGCTTAAGTTTCCAGTCTATCTATTCTCTCTATCTCAGTCTCTCTGTCTCCCGTCTCTCTATTCTCTCTATCTCAGTCTCTCTGTCTCCCGTCTCTTTATTCTCTCTATCCCAGTTTCTCTGTCTCTCGGACTCTCTATATCCCTCTATCCCCTGCCCCTCTTTCTCTCCATTAGTTTGCTTTAACTTTAACACTGAGCCCTTGAAATCCAATATTCACCCCACCCTTCTACAACCACGGCGTCAACCTTCCCACTGGTGCTGTTGTGTTCCAGAACGCTCTTTTGTTTCCATTTAACATTCACAAAACCCTAGCCTTTCATTTTGTCGACCCCCAACCCACACCCCAAACTTTATTTCCCCAGCCAATTCGTAATAAAACGTTTATTATACCACAGCTAGTTATAGAAAATTCGAACACTAGTCTTAGCATATCATTGTAATTCGATCCTTGCGTCTTTTATAATCGTATCAATACCTGTCAATCGGTTCTGTCAATATTCGTCAGGTTTAATGTTTCAAGTCATTCACTAGCGGTGTTTCATTTTTCTTTAATAAACCCTTTCAGTGTTTGTGGTTGTTTGATTTGGTCATTCAGTCGTTCTGTTTGCTCCCTGCAGAAGTCATCCAAAGTTGCAGGTGTTGAATTTATGTAAATAAACTGTTACTCAGTCCACGGTGTGACGCCATTATATATATATATATATATATATATATATATATATATATATATATATATATATATATATATATATATATATATATATATATAATTATATATGTATGTATATAATTATATAATTGTATATATTTGTATATAAATACATACATATTATTTATATACTGTTATATTTAAATTTAAATTTTGCATATATATATATATATATATATATATATATATATATATATATATATATATATGGAAAGAGAGAGAGAGAGAGACTTGTTATCTACATTTAATTGATTTAAGCTGATGCGGATAATTGCTGCATTACCCAGAAATATATTATGAAACGAACAAAGTTAATTGTATAAACACACTACTCTCCCTTGACGAATTTCTTGTATAACCAACAAACGTTTTTAAAACTTATGTAGATAGATATTTTATATTTTCGGTAAGTTAAAACTATCAATAACTTTAGCAGTTGATGCCTTAAAATTTTGAATAGAAGACACATTAACTAGAGTTTCTTATAGGCATCTCTTTGGGGGGAGGGGGTGAAAGTGCGACTCCCCCTCCCCCAAGAAAGTCCACCTCATCCCTCCCCCCCCCCCCCAAACGAAATGGAAATTATATAGAAAATATGTATACTTTTACCAGTGCCCACCCCCTCCCCAGAAAAAAATGTGTCCCCACCCCCAAAAATATGAAGTCCCCCCCAAAGAAAAAAGTCTGAAAGAAACACCGTTATCAACAATAGCAGCGACTTCCAATCATGATGAAAATTTAATAATTTTCGTCGATTTTGTTATACAAATCGCCAGATAATATATTTTATGTCTAAGTGAAACAGGTTTACATTTTTTTTCAGCCCCACAAAGCTGATTCGTATTTAGAATATACGCCTTTCGTTTTTGCGTGTAGAACTAATTAAAAGTAAACACATCTACTAATTAAACACAAACACTCACCCGCACTCAGTGAATCAATCAAAGCCAGAACCTCCACCACGAAAAAAAAAAATCACGTGTTATTGTTTTGCCAACGCCCAGTAAACAATTTTTTTATAACTTTGAATAACAACACCTTTAAAAAAAATAAAACACCTAACTGCCTAGCTTGTGCGGCTTCTAGCAGTCGTTCCCTTATCGCAGTGCATGAGATCGTAAAACAGAGCTGGGTAATAAAGTTGAAAACTGATAGGTGTAGCTATGACTGGATCGATACTCGATTTCTCCAGTGGAACTTGATCAAATACCACGACCAGAATGTAGCTGTACAACGACTGTAAAACAACTGAGCAAAAAATGGCGCAACATAAATTAACTACAAAAAATAACTACATAACATAAAATAACTACATAACATGAAATAATTATATAACATAAAATGAGTACATAAAATAACTACATATAACAACTTCATAAAATAACCACATAACATAAAACAACTACTTAACATAAAATAACTGCATAAAATAACTACTTAACATAAAATAACAACATAAAATAACTACATAACATAAATTAACTACATGAAATAACTATAAAGCATAAAATAACTACATAACACAAAATAAACACATACAATTACTACATATAATAACTATATAACATAAAATAACTACATAAAATAACTACATAATACAAATAAATACAGAAAATTACTACATAAAATAACTATATAACATAAAATAACAACATAACTTAACTACCCAACTTGACTATATGCTTTCATAATCATCACCATCTTTTCCCGTTCGTGCCTAAGAAACTTGAAGCAGATGAAGTAGAGTTCACCTGTTTCATCTACCTCGGCATACTATACCCATCCGCCTTTACGTGAATCAGGAACCTATCCGAGCTTTGCCTACCCTCTATCGACACGGTGGTCAAACAAGTTCTCAAGACTTTTGACTTAATTTTTATTCTAATGAAAACACACATATAGCTAGTCAGGCCTCAACACGGCAAACTCAGACTAACTTGCTTGTATATCGGTTTGTCTACCATGTATTGGTCGCTACGGGAACCTTATAAGGTTGTGTCGGGAGGTAAAATACTACGGTAAAATACTTAGAGAAATAAGGTGTACAATAAGGCTAAATATACCGACTACTTAATATGAATACCAAAAATGACAACAGAAAAAGACAACATAATTAGCCTTAATTGGACTCCAGAATATGACAACAACAAAACTACTTCAAAATTTTGACAACAGTAGAAAATTACAAAAAGTGACTATATAATGTGCCTCACAAAAAAGGACTTAAATATAACAAAACTGCTCCAAAATTAACAGAAGGCGTCTACAGAAAGCGGACTTGCCCTGCAATTTATGAGAACTTGCAGAAACAGTCAGCTCCCCGTATATAAACTACATACGTATTCGCCATAGAACCGTCAGCTAGCGAGGTATATCAATCAATAGCGCTCGCCAGACTGGCGATTGTATCCAGGAGGAAACAAACGAACCTATCAATAAACAAGGCGACTCCGGACACGCTCTACTGCACCCACGCAGTCGAGTGAGCAAATACGGGTATCACGTGAGCAAAAACCAGAC